AGCTCGAAGTATCGTGGAAGTTGTATTAGTGCCGATTGTAGTGTAATGGATGAGGTCAGTGCATGAATCTGCAAGACTTGGGTGGTGTCAAAGCGATATATATCCGAATCTCGAGGTACATGTGTATCAGGCTGCAGTACGGGCTCTTTTACGGCTGTGAGACGGCCTGTTCGTGTACCGGAACTGACGCCTTCGGGTCTTCGACCACTGTTGTCTCAAAACCGTAGCTGCAGACTGGTGTCCGGGAATACTTAACGAAACAGCAGGGACATCCATCGAAGAATGTGTCCAGCAGCAGAAGCTGCGTTGGTTAGGCCATGCATTACGTGTGATGAATTAGTGTCTGCAGAAGAGTGTACTATTTTCCATGCCCAACTCAGATAGGTATGAGATGGCTCAGTGGTTAGAGCACGAACTTACTGACCACGACACCAGTGGTTCGAACCCGACCTCTGCATCTCGACTTCCCTGTCTAGGGTTAGGCAACCTGGCAGTATCCCAACCGTCGTGCTTCCTTCGGGTGACATTGCAGTTAAACACCGAAAGGATGTTACAGCCAAATGATTATTTATTTTTTCTTCAGCTCCGTCATCGATTTGATCATGAAAGACCAGGTGCTAGGCTCTAATACTGTGAGGGTGACACGTTCCCAGGGCGTATGCTCACAGTTACCCACTACGCAGATGACGTAGCTCTTGCGTCCATTGCCACCGCAATCCAGACCGCATTGAATGATGTAACTAAGTCTGCCTCACCGTTTTGGAGGTGCACCACATTTGCAAAATGTAGAGTGCTACTGTCAGACCGGGTTAAGGCTAGGTAGGGGTAGCAGATTTAAAAAGCCTAATAAATGGGTGAGTCTGGTTCACCTTAAATGCACGAAGCTATTCCAGCCAATCCGTAAAACTGAACTCAACTTCGCCTGTTAGTGATCTAATCAAAAGTAGTACTGGAGATCTAATATGTACTGGGAGCCAGTGTTGGCCGTCGCCTTCAGTACCTGGCTTTTTCAAGCTGGTCAACTAGAGACGTGGTTTGTGATCTTATATCCACTCTGTTGGTGTTCTACTAGTTTACCCTCTGGCTTAAAGCGCCGTCAGCCGCTGCGCCTAATGAGCTCCTATCAGCGCCAATTAAACATGTGGTTTGAGTTTGTTCTGCCTCGACTAAGTTGCATGAACATATTCCAAAACTAGAAGGCGTTCCAGACGAGTGGAACCAATATATATCGTAAAAAGGGGCTGTTGAAGCTACTATTCTAACCGTAAAGGTATAAGCCTGGTACCTTATATTGCATTTTCTCGCTTCAGTTATATGTGCAGTTTAACTATGGCATATAAGGCGAAAATTCGGGAGCAGAAAGCAGAGTTTCGCCTGATTTGGAGGTGCACATCTTCACCACGTCAAATGCTTGAACGGCGCCGTACTTATCCCCGGTCAACAGTTGCTGTTTTCCTCGACTTTATTAGAGCCTTAGATCAGTCAATCCTTTTGCACGTATGTGTTCTCAAGCGGACTCCACTTGATGCAAATACATTTTCCGTTTTCGAGCTCGAAATAGCTCGTTGATTAAGGCGCCAGCCTACGAGCCGGAAGGTTCGTGGTTTTCACCCAACCTCGGCATATGGACTGCTCCTGTCCTAGCTTGGGCAACCTGGTAGTATCCCAGCCCTCGTGCCTCCGTCTGTTGGTGTGGCAGCTAGGCACTGAGAAGGTGTTATAGCTGAACGATTTTCTTTTCATTTTTTAGTGGGGCAAATAGCCCCATTGGGCGTTCTACGTAACTGAATTTGTGGCAGCTTTCATATGAGAAAAACCGTCATCTGCTAGTTTTTACTCTTGTTTCTGAAGAAACACTGGTGTGAGGAAGTCACGTTATGAGGATTCGTTTCATCCAACCAGCTTCACTTCCAGTGCAATTTCGAGTTCCAAGACCGGGTAATTGAGGTCTCAATTCATCAGCTGTACGTTTAATTGTGGGTAGTTAAACTGTTCGAAATTCTCTGCGACAGAACAAACTGCGGACGTCCAGCTTTCCACCGCAAACATAAGGGAATACAAGAAATGTCTGCTAAGAACACTAATCTTCACTTCCATTGCTTGCGCGGTGTACGAATTCTTACGGTTTCTGCAGACTTTTCTCAGTTTGTGCTTCAGTTCTGCCATTTTTACATCGGAATATCTTATCCCTGGCCTTTTCACAAGCAATCCCTTAATTTTGGCCACCCTCTGATGGATGCCATCATGACAGGAGTTGCTACAGTCGCGCGAGCCAACTACCACAAAAATCAAGGGGATACGCTTCTGAAATAATGAAATAATCCTGTGAAGAATTATAAAATAAGTGTTCAGCTGTAGCACCCTTTCGGTGCCCAGTCATGATGCCATCCGAAGAATGTCACAATGGCTGGAATGCTTCCAATTTTGCCAAAACTTAGACAGGCACGATCGAGGTGCAAAGGCTGAGTTCGAACTATGGACCGTCTGGTCAGTAAGTTCGAGCTTTAACCACTGAGTTATCTCAGCCCGTTGGTTGCAGGCAAATCGGTGCGCCGAAGTACACGCTGGCATGGTCCGACACTCCAGCCCAACAAATAGAGAATGGCGGACACAGTTGAACGAGTGCGCGCACACCACAATGCGATGCCGCACTGATTAGCGAGACCCGGAGATAAATCCGACATCCAATCGGTCTACGTCACTCGACAACCGGATCATCACCAGAAACAGCAGCATCCATGCTGACATTGTTGCTTCATTGCCGTATAACCACAAGGTTTGTTTGATTATACTCAGAACACTAAAGGAAAAAAGAAAAGGGTGGATGAGAGTGAAAGCTGGTGTTAGCCTGCCACCAACGTCCTGAGTTTCCAACACCTCCAGGCGCTGAATCAGACAATCTGGAGGGAAGTTGACAGCACGGACTCCACTGACATCGACTGGCCGCCATTCATTGAAATGTCTCCAACCAAGCGCAGAGGGCCATATCATGAAAAAGGACTGCACGAAAAAACCCAAACTCTTCTTAATCTCACACCTCTCTGCCAAGTCACGTTATCCACCTCGCATTTTTCGCCATTCTGAAGAAAACATGGAGAACACTCGTCTCGGCTAATCGTCACCGAGCCTTAACGAAAGACGCCATAGTCTACAATTAAATAACCCCTCGATATGCTGTGCAATGAAAAGGCCAAAAGGCCTATGCATTTGTAAAGTGCGTCAAGTCCGACGGATCTCGGCCTGTTATTAGCTCGGGACCAATCGGGACCAGATGGCTCAAGTAGTTAGAGCGCGAATTACTGACCGGAAGGTCCGTGGTTCGAACCTGACCTCTGCCTCTCGACTTCCCCTGTCTGGCAGTATCTCAGTCCTCATGCCTCATTTAGGTGCCATGTTAGTTGGGCACCGAAAGGATGTTACAACTGAACGATTATTTTATTTTTCATCTTTAAGGTGTTGCTACAAGACAACGGTTTACAGGACAGTTGGATCAAACCCTAATCTCATCCTTGCAGGCGAGGCAATCGACATGGTAGATAAACTTGTTTATCTGGGCAGGTGCATAATTTCCGGTGGACCGTTAGGAGATGAGATTACTTCTCGATCGGGAAAGCCAGAGCAGCTTTTGCCAACCTCCGACACCTATGGCGCCGATGTGACGTGAGCTTGTCATGGGCAGAGTTTACCCTCTGGCGGTGCGACCCATACTACTTTATGGAATGGATCAAAGACGTGGCCTCTACGCGCAGAGGATATACGAAAGCTGTCAGTTTTTGACCATCGATGTCCCCGAAGCATTGGTCGGATCTGGTTGGAACATCGGATTAGTAATATCGAGGTACGCCAGATAATCTTAGAAAGAAGGAATTCCCCGCAATCGATGAATTATTCACGCTTCATAGGTTACTCTGGTTAGAACATGTACTCCGTATACCAGAAGACCGTCTGTCTCACAGAGCTCTTTTCACCCAGTCCTGTGCTGAGTGGAAGCAACCGAGGTGGACAGTGTATGACCTGGCAACGAAGTATGGAAGCACCAGCCGGTAAACTTAGTCGGGTCGACAACTGCCGCCTCCCTGGATGAGGATCCCTGGACTCAACTTGTCAATGTTTAATGACACTGGAAGAACTGGCACAATCGCGCAGTTAGTGGCAGTCGTGCATCAAAGCCATTGCCTTCACTGCGTAGCTACGCAGTTCCGGAACAACCAAACATCCCATCGCCCCCAAGGTTTGCTTTTTCCCAAACTCCCACCTGATGATCGAAACTGTAGTACCTAGAGCCTTTATGTCTGTGACACACGGTTTATAGTTAGTAAATTGATTGATTGATGATAAATGTACCAAGGACAGGCGTTGCAGCCGCCACAGTCCTTTTTTCCCATGAGGTTTCGCGATCGACCGTTGTTTTGCTACTTATCCCTGACTTTCCAGGCATTGTGGAAAAGTTAGTATAGTCCGCAAGGGTTTGGAAGCATTCAAGCAGCTTGATCGGTCGGTGTAATGAATGCTGGTTAGCTGTTGAGGTATCCTTCACCTGTGTATGAACCACCGTACAGCCGTGGCACTTTTGGCGCCCGACTGCCACGTATATCCGTATGGGGGCACTAGGACTGTGCTACTACCGGGTTGCTTAAGCTTGGATAGGAGCAATGCCAAAATCTAGTTCTCGCTTCAGCCCCCGAATTGCCTTAAACCCAACCCTCGACGTTGTCACGTACGGCCGTTAGTCTATTTTATCCCCGTTTCCTGTTACCCTGTTTTGCCGTATCATTTGATCCGCAGAAGGACCAGCAGAGGCATTCTCCCACTGGAGCGTTCGAGCTAACAACAAAACGTCATTTCTGTCCCGTAGTATTGTTCTTAATCTCCCTTAGTTCCATCGGTTTAAGTTTTTTCGGTGCCGAACCTAAATTACCTTTCCATATCCATCTTTGAAGTCATCCGACCAGTTGCACCGACCTCTCACCACCGAACTCGGTTTCTCGCATCCCTCTCAGGTATGACACGTGATGACCTGTTCACCACCAACGCGTCCGTCGTAGCACAGTTGGCTCACGCCTGTGCATTGAACTGTCCCAAGGCGATGATCTGTGTAGTCACGAATCCTGTGAATAGCACTGTCCCCATTGCAGCTGAGATAATGAGGCGCCACGGTGTGTTCGATCCGCAACGTCTTTTCGGTGTAACTACGTTGGACATCATCCGGTCTAACACATTTATAGCTGAAGCCAAAGGTCTAGATGTCCAGAAAGTCTCATGCCCGGTGATTGGCGGACATTCTGGAATCACCATACTGCCTGTGATCTCCCAATGCTCCCCGACAGTCTCGTTCCCCCAGGTGAGCCTGGCTCCTATTCAGTGTGATATCCCCTCAGCTTTTTTTATCTTCTGTGCTACATCATCATCTTCATCGTCCTTATCATTGAGGGAGGCGTTGAATCTTTTCTCAAGGGTGCACGGCTACCGATTAACTGTGGTAATAACCCAAAATTGCTTTTTGACTGTGCTCATTTGAAGTAAACCTCAGTGTAAGCCCCAGCTCAGGTGGTGGTTTCCACCACTGGTGTGTTGCTGTTCAACTCAAGAAACAGATGATCCATGATAGTACTTAAGCAACTTATTATGCGTCCCACCCAATTGCGATGTCTTCGTAACAGCTACCAACATCGTCGGCGACAGCTATCCTTCCTGGACCGAAATTTTGGGAAAATCCTGCATTCGGAGATCAAATTAAAACCATTATCGTCCTTGACAGTGGCGCCAACGTAGACCACTGGTATTTCACTGCCATACAGCCACTGTGAAAAAAGATCGAGGTGGAGTCTCCTAGCAGCCCATTTCAAATAATCCCAGTTCCCACATCTCTAAAAGTCAGTGGAAAGTATCCAACCGCCGCGGCCATATTTTTCGCTGTCTACAACCACGCTGAGGGAGAATGGTCAAGAGTTTCGTAACATCGTTGTATTCTGCCGGGTTATATTCCACTTTGGCCTTACCGTGAGATTTGATAGCTGGTAGAATTTAGGTACTTGACACATTTTGTGGTGACAAACAAGCGTATGGATCGTCTCTTTAAGCGATTTGGATGTCACACCCACTGGACGCCCAGAACCACACTCCTGACTTCGATTTAGACCTTCGCACCTAGGCTTTTTGCTGTACTAGTTTGTTCCAACTCCGAAGTTCAGAATAACAGGAAACGCCCAGTTAGCACGATCCATTATTACCTACCAGCTAATGACGGGAATTTTGAAACCTAATATTTGTGCTTGGACGTAAAATGGGATTTCTTAATGCGAGTTTCTTGTTGTTTTTGGAATTGTTTCGTTGGTCAGCACGAAACACCTCCCCGCCAAAAAGCACCGGGTACGATGTGTGACCTGACGCTTGAGTGTCCATCTTAGGCTCGCCAGTTTCTGGTGCGCGGGCTGTGACGGAGTACAGCAAGATTTTTGTGGCCTGTTCGGTGCGGGCAGAGTGGGGGATAAGTGCGAGTCTGGAACTTGGTCCTAAAGGTTTTTGGACTCTGTTTACAAAGATATGCTGAGAAAAGTAGCCACTGCCCGAACAACCGACTTCAACTGGTTGATTTTGCTCGATGTGAGGGCTAGGTGGTGACTACACTGCACCCTTTACACTTTAGAAAATCACAACAACGGCTTCACTATTCAATTGAACTGTGGACTATTTTCATAGGTGGTCGCTTAAGCTCCCGTAGCTCTCATATCAGTGGAAAAAATTAAAAAGTAGTTGTGTCACCCTCCCTAACTGCCATGCCACCTGTAGGTTGCACGAGGGCTAGGATACCGCCAGGTTAACCAAGCCTAGACAGGGGAATTCGAGAGGCAGAGATCGGGTTCGAACCACGGACCTTCCGGTCAGTAAATTCGCGCTCTAACGACTTCGGCCATCTCGCCCCCTATATCAGTCGAACAGGGAACCGTCTTGTTTAACGTTGGTTTCAATACTTTCCTTCTTTTCTTGCTCGTTTAGTTTACGACGACTGTTCAATCACCTCTGTTCCTTTTTTGCATGCAGAACGAACGGGAACAATTGACCCATCGAATTCAGAATGCCGGAACTGAGGTTGTCGAAGCCAAAGCTGGAGCAGTAAGTTTCATCTTCGTCGTCTGCCTCCTTCCAACCGTCATTTTACCGTTGATCTGCGTTGATCCAACCACCATACCTTCAGGTCGATTAACCATCCCCTGAATGTCTATTTCTACCTTGAAGTGACTCGAATTTTACCCTCAGATTTTTTGAGTGGGCCACAGTAGCACTTCATTCCAACCGCAGTACTAGTTATTCTAAGGGCTCTGAGTTTTGTGCAACCCCGACCTAAAGCTCTCACTTTGTCGTGGTGTTCGGGCCTCGGTGTTGCAATGATCATACGTGTCGCACTGGCTGAAACTCAGTTTGTTGGGGTTCATCCATACCAGGAAGACCAACGGGAAACAGCCCGACATAGACCAGCGAGTCCCTGTACTGCGAGAAATCGTATTACAAGGTAGCCCGGTGGTAAAGTCCCAACGTCCTCCGAGATAGGAACGTGAAACCAGTAGGGTGTTTCCCTCAGGCGAACTGAATGTCCATATTAATGGAAACAGTGATACTACCTTCTTCAGAAGAAGGGTGGATTTGAAAGAGCTGGCTAAGAAAAACTGCACTCCCCGATGGCCAAAGAATGACTGTAACCGCCGGTGAGTTATGCAATACGGC